GCTTAGGACTGCTCCCTGCTTCATAGGTTCCCTGCTGGTACTATCATTACACAGGTCTGTGCTTGAGCCACAAACCAGGATTCCACCCAGTGACTGCTTTAGTTTCCAGTAACCATATCCCTGTCTCTAGAAAAACAGTGTGTAACTAAGGTATAGTGGATGTGAGAAACTGAACCCCTAGTTTAATTAGGTTAATTAAGCAAATAATTAAGTGGCTGACTAGCTGGTGGGGGCTGAGTTTGGAAGGACCTACTCTGGATGAAGAGCAGAGAAGAAATGAGATTAGTCTTGACTATCCTGTTGTGTGGAAACAATTCATGCCATGATTGAAGAACATGACTGAGGCCACCTGAAAGAGTTACTGCAGCTCCTTGCTCTGGAAAGGATTGGAAAATTATTGCTCTGGACTGGAGAATCTACATCTCCATTGTCAGTCTACAAATGGAGGAAGATCAAGATCAGTGGCCCAACCTAGGAGTGCTTGTCCACAGCAGCATCTTGCAGGTCTCTTGGTGTGTTGGTGCAAGATGGCTGAGAGCAGACCGCTGCCTGTGCAGCAGCTGTGCCTTTAGGGGAAATGATGGGCGAATGATACTGAACAAGGAAGCCAGCAAGCAAAGCAGCCTGCCCTTCTCCCCTGGTAGGGCTCTGATTGAATAGCAGGTGCCCCAGAAGGGAAACTGTAGTGAGTGTGCTAGCACATACTTGTGCTGGAGGCCTCTGAGCATTTCTGACTAGCTAGTACCCCTCATGGTCAGGACTTCCTTTCCACAGACGTTGGTCTCCAGAGAAGACTGCCTTCTCTGATCCATTCAGGAATCCGCAAGGAAGCCCAGCTGAATTAAATCTTAACTGTCTTTGACTGCTCCATCAGTCTCAAAATTATGCTACCTAGTGAAAGCTCTTTAATGTAGAGGGAATTGTTTAATCATATATTATTACACTATTCTGCATGAGAGCAGCCTGTTTTGATTTTGACAGGGCAGCTCACGGTGCCACTAATCACATTTGTCAAACATTTTGGACAAAATGGCTATTCCTAATAAATTAAAGCTAGATGTTTGCTTGCTTCATCGCTCCTGGTGAAATGAATATGTATTGGTTCATCACAAAAACCTTGATTTTATTTTGTGTGTTGTGAGAGTGGGACTTGTCGCACATCAAATGTCCAAAGACATTTTAGTTAAAGCATGAGAAACTCTTCAAGGAAGGGGCAGACAAGACCGAGGCAATCAAATGGGTGACAGTGGTTTGTTTTTGGATGTTGAGTAACATCCATAATCAAATTGTACTCCAGGAGATGGACAGTGCCCACGAGAACATTGCACTTCACAGTGATGGTGATTGGCTCGGCAACCAAAGTCTTGAAACAGGCCAACGTCCACAACCAGGTAAGCAATCAAAGAAGGACGCCACGCACTGCCCAGTGGGCATTGATTCGTCGAATATACGTATATTC